AGATAGGGAACGACGAGAGCTCCAAAGCCAGCTTGGCCGACGCACTCACCCAAGACGGACGAGTTCCCAAGCGTTGCAAAAGCTGTAAAGGTTGGACCGTTCGCACCGAGACCCCCACCATGCACGCAGGCAGCATACTGCAGACAGCTGTGTGCAATGGTACTCATATTAGAAAAGCTCGTTTGGTCCCATTATTCGTCTGAAAATGGATACCCCAAAATTATCGTGAGCTGTGCCACTAAACAAATAGCGTCTTCTACATTATGAATACAGATGGTCACCACAAGCTGTCATTTGTCATTTGTCATATCAGTAATCGAACTAACACTAGTACTTTTTGGATAAGTTGCTTTTATTGTATTCTGTTCATTTTCTTCCAGCGAGCCCTGAAAACTCCTGTACATGGTGACTGTCAGATATGTGGGCAGCCAGGTCATGGAAGCCATTTTGGAGTGCTAGCCTGCAGGGCCTGCGCTGCCTTTTTCAGGTGAACTGCTTGTTTCCAAACTGTCAGCAGAAATTGCTAATTTTGATTGGGTTCTGCCGGGGAGAAGAGTTGTGGTAGCCACTAATTTCCTGCGAATAGCCGTTTAGAAAGAAGATAGTGACTAAAGATTCAGCAATTACCTGATAGATATTCATGTCCTTCTTAATTTTCGACCATACGGTAGTGAATCAGCCAAAAATCCTGAATGGATTGAATAGATCAACCCGAAATACCTAGATTACCTAGTATTTCGCCGACCTTTTTAGTAAGTGGAGAGTGGGTTGACTTAACACCAAGGCTCAGGAGGGTGGTAATTGCACAGTAGTTAAGAAATTGGAGTGAGGGAACAGTTTGGAAATCTCTGATTCATAGTTTATTTTTATCCTTCACTGAAGGATTTCGTAGCACAGTCAAAAGTTCCAGAAGAACGGTAGTGATGAACCGTCAGTACTCTTGCCGTCGAGCAAATGGCTCGTGCCAAATCTCTAAGGATGAACGATATCTCTGCCGACTATGTCGCTATAACAAATGTCTAGCACTGGGCATGACTCCGGACAGTAAGTTTGATTCGAAATGCATTGATCACTTTTGTTTTGAATCATCCCACTCATTCGACAGCCCACTGAAAGTCGGTATTTTACGCCTTGGACAAATCTGATAAACCGAGCTGAGAGAGAGCGCGGAAGAGATCCAAGACATGCTCCAAAGATCATCCTGATCTGCATCTGCAGCGGCTTTTGT